ACCCTTTAAGCGCAGCCCTCGGCTAGCCTGAGACAGCATCTCCATGCTCTAAGTCCTCCTCTGATGCCCTGCCGGCACTGCTTCTGGCGATCCTTAAGCCCTGTTCAGGGTCCACTCAATGTGGACTTGCTAGTTCGAATTAGCAAAACGCTAATTCGAACTAGTTTTTAGTTCTAGACACGTTAGTTCGAATTAGCTTAGTTCGAATTAACTAATTCGAACTAAGTTAGTTCGAACTAGCGCTGTAGTGTAGACATACCCTCAGATAGGCTGTTTTCTATGCCAGGGTCTGGATGTGGTTTGATCCACCTAATTTGTTTTGTCTTTCACCCTTTGTTTAACCAAACTTTGTTTTAATTTGAGATACTTCTGCTCTTCTGCTGTTGGATGTCTGTTGCTGACTGCTGTCAAAGACAGAGAAAATGTATAGTCATAGCTGAGGTACAGGAACATGCTAAAAGTTATCTGACTTGGGAGCCCGGCAGATTGTGCTCTCTTACTCAGGGGCTTGACCCTGCAAAACACTCAAACACATGCTGAGCTGTAGCCCCACTGATATCAGTAGGACTGCTCATGTGCTTTACTGTCTTGCATCATGGGGCAAAAGTGCCCAGAATCTCGCAAGACCAACGAGCTCTCAAGATGTGGTCAGTAGGGGACATGGAGAAAACCTGGTGATTGCAAAGAGTAGCAGGAAAAAGAAACCAGGGGTTGCACCAATCTTTAAGCACTTAATTTTACAGGACATCTACAGTCATAACAACTCCTTAATTATATAATAAATTACCAAATTACATTATATACACCCTTTTCCTGAGAGCAACTTGGTAATTTTACTTGGTTACTGAACTGTACTAAAAGTAATGAGCCTGAGGAAGTGATGTCCTTGCAGATCCCATTAAATCCCTAACCCCTTAGGCATCTCTAAAAATCCCAGCTGAAAGCAAAGGACTGTGAGCCTAGTAGATTCTGGTTTCTAATCTGGCCTGAGTTACTGATTCACTGTGTTGGGTCAACCAATGGTCTGCTTGTATCTCTTTTAATCCATCTGGAAACAGCACAGCAAAACATAGGCCCTTATTGCAGATCAGATGCTGTATCTGAGCTAAGCTTTCCTCAGGGATAATACATTCAAGAAGTCACTGAGAATCCTGAAAAAATTTGAGTTTAGGATATGTGTGCATTCTCCGGAGCGTGCATGACACTGATTAGGGAGATAAGATCCCATTTAATTGGCTACAAAGGCTATGTTTACACTAGGGGTTTTTCCTGGGATACCAATCCCGGAAAAATTCCATCACATCCAGGGAATGCATCTGCTCGTCCGACATTTTTTGTGGAAGAGCAGATGCACTCTTTCGGAAGCTCTGTAAAGCTCGTTTCACGAGGAAGAAGGGCTCTTCCGAAAGAGGAAGTTTTTCCAAAATTTGGCCCAGTGTAGATGGGCCAAATATTGGAAAAGCCTCTTCTGAAAAAACAATCAGAAAAAGGTACGCAAATTGTGGTGCGATTTGTGTACCTTTTTCTGAAAAAGAAGTCTAGTATAGATATAGACTTATTGTTTAACTGGTAACCGATTGAAAGGGGCACCAGAACAGCCCCTATCCACAGCAGGCAGGGAGCTGCTCCAGCCCCACCAATTAACCTTAACCGATAAGCCTCGTCCATCAAGGATGAGGCTTACCAGTTAAACCTTCATATCCCTATTGCTGACTATGGACACACATGGTAAATAGTTACCATGTTCAGTAATTAAAAAGTTCTTAACTTTTAGGTTTCTACTTGGAGGTCTTACAAAAAAAAAAGGAGATTGCTTTTTTTACAGTAGATTATAAGATAAGGAGGTGAAATGGGCTAACCTCAGAAGGAACTAATCTTGCTGAGAGTTGAAAAATAGATTGGTGAAAAAATTTGATACAGTAATTCCTCATTTAACACTATAGATATGTTTCAGAAAATGATCGTGTTAAGTGAAAACGTGTTATGTGGGGTCAATTTTCCCATTGAAAATAATGGAAAAGGTGGGGGTTGCGTTTCAAGCGGTGGTGTCTGTAGGGACCGGGACATAAGGTTGGGGGAGAAAGGGGCCTGGGTTACAGCAGGGAGGGGGAGGTGTTTGGCTCTAGGGAAGGGAAGGGGAGGAGAAGGGAGGGGGGATTGGGTTGAGAGTATGCCCCTGTGACGGGTCTGCCGGTACCTGCACAGCGTCTGGCGAGGGGGAGTCGCCAGGGAATGGCGCAGCGAGCAGCGAACCCTCCGCCGCTTTGCAAGGAGGTGGGGGAAGCCCCGCACAGCGGCCAGCAACGGGCCGGTTGGGGATATTGTGTTATTCCGGGGATGGTTGTGTAATTCAAAAAATGTTCCCTAAAAAAAAAATCGTGCTATCGCGAAAACGTGTTATGCGGGCACATGTTAAATGAGGAATTACCGTATAGCAGATATTTTAGACCTTGAGCAATTGGGTGACCCTACAAGCTCCATATTAGCTTCAAACTAGGGATGTAAAAGCCCACTAAAATAGTTAACTGGTTGAACAATTTGTTTAACTGGTTAACCACTGGCCACGGGTGGGGAGCTGCTCCCACCTGCCACCCTGCTGGTTGAGTCCAGGCAGCCAAGCCTCCCACGGCCACAGGCAGGGGACAGGTCCAGCTGGCCCAGTTAACTGGTTACTGGATAAGCAGGCCAGTAAGCCTACTGCTTACCAGGTAACCAGCTAAACTCTTACATCCCTACTTCAAACAATAATTATGAAGCATGCCGTGTCTAACTTCGGTGCCACTTTCAGTGAATAGATAGATAGTCATCATGAACACTAGACTGATTATACCAAACTAGTCACTGAGCCATCTCATTTACTAGTGTCCATATTTTTCTTGTATTTTTATAAGTCATTCTCAGGAGAATAAATTTAATGTTCCCATCATCATATTTTGTGAGCAGAGAGACTACTTTTAAACTTAAGCATAATGAGTTATTCCTTAAACTAACACAAGTGTGTCCAAAATTCAACGATGACCTTGGTAAGGGTTAAACAGG